GGATGGATGGATGGATGGATGGATGGATGGATGGATGGATGGATGGATGGATGGATGGATGGATGGATGGATGGATGGATGGATGGATGAAGGACATACTAATAATAAAAAAGTGCAGATTTTGTTTCTTACTACTTTTCTATGTTTGACTGGTCTTTATAACACTGCAGTGTAACAGAAGCTAAAAATACATGTGATCTAAAAGGTGAAATTAACTGAATTTTAAGATTTAGAATTATATTATAATTGTTTTATCTGATGTTTTAATTACATTTTCTCAGTTACGTTCATTCTGTCTATGAAAATTAGTTAATTTAAACTTGGGCCAGAATTAAGATTGGACTTTTTTTTTTTCAGAAGCAGTCTGTTCCTTTTGTTTGATCTGGTGACAATAATTGTACCAATATTTCTTTAATAAACTTGTAATTGTACTTAATGTTTTTCTACCGTTTGTTTATCAGACAGTTAAAATCACTACTGAACATGAAAATCATCATTAAATGTTGAAGAAATTAGCACAAGAAAAGAACTTTTGCATCAAATGTCTTTGAAAAGGCGTTACAGAGTTATAGTTTCTGTGTGTTGAATCTTTGGTGGTTATCCTGATCATGGATCACTGAACTCACTGATATTGTCCGAACTTATGGAAGAACAAGATATATCCCCAATTTCCATATTTAATCAAGTTGCATCATCTGATAAATGTCAGGGTTTAAAGAAGTCTGGGTTAGCCCTGGTTGTTTTTTTTGGCCATGTTAAATTGGGTTGACTCCAAAAGGAAATATATTCAGTGGTTCATTTTTCTAACAATATGTAATAACAACAAAGTTCATGCTCAATCATCCAAGTACCAAATCCAATAATTCTCAATCGGGTCATCTGGACAGTTTATTTTTTATAGAGACATTTCTCCCTCTATCCAGAGGGCTTCATCAGTCAGAGGAGTTCCAGTAGTCCAATGTGTAATAACGTGATATCAACAGACAAAAGCATTGCTTCATCTTCACATTGTGCAGCTGGTGATGATTGAAATGAACGAGTTTTAGCTGAAATAGTCAGGGCAGCACGGTGGCGTTGGTAGAGCTTTTGCCCCTCAGGTTACTGGTTCAAATCCCAACCTGGGACCTTTCTGGGTGGAGTTTGCATGTTCTCTCCGTGCATTCTCCGGGTTCTCCAGTTTCCTCCCACAGACCAAAAACATGCATGTTAGACTGTCTCTAGCTGTGAGTGAGAGAATGAATGGTTGTCTCGTATGTGTCCCTGTGATGGACTGAGACCTGTCCAGGGTGTCCCCTGCCTCTCACACGGTGGGACATGGGCACCAGTGACTTCTAAGACCCAAAAAACTGGAGGAAGCGAGTAAAGATAATGGATGGATGAAATGGTCAGAATGAAATTTATGAAGATTTTTTTTTTTTATTAAAATTACAAAACAATAATGCACATGTATTAATGTATACACTTTAGTGTGAATAAAAACTGTACTATGACTATAAAGTTTACATCAATAAAAAGACTGGATAAATAAGGCATGTTCTCCTTTAACGACAAAGAGGAGGAGAGATTGAAACCGAAAGTGTTCAGCGTTCATGCCATCTTGGTTTTTGCGCCTGAGAGAGCAGAGTAAAACAAATCAAGTCAAATCAAGGTGAGTGTGTTGGGTCAAACTTCTTCCTTTTTCTGTGGGGCTCATTTTTCTCTGACTGTAGAAGAAAGAAGCACAACTCGGACTGATTGACTGTTTTATATCCACAGAGTCATTCTAACTCCTGACTGCTGAATCATACACATAAATAATTATTTTATATAAAGATTGTTTTTAAACTTTCCAACTGGAACGGGTCATTACAGCTGTTTTCGGTGACGTTGTCACGTGGAGCGCTGCCGGTCTTGTGCGAAATTCTGTTCCCCCGTGAAAATCTGTTCCCCTGTGTCGGGAGCGCGCACTGCAACCAGAGAGGCGGCTCCGACGTCTTCACGGCTCATCTGATACATCTCTCGGTAAAATGAGTCCATGTAACTTTCATTTTAATGGACAGCTCCTGGTAAATAAATAAATGAAAACCTCAACAACAACAAAAAACCTGGTCTTGTTTTTATTTTTTTATTTTTTTAATCGCCGAGAGAATCTACAACTTTGGTCATGTTCATTTT